TATTCCAGGCTGCTGGCCTGTGTAGAAACACAACAGAAGTTTGATCTGGAGCCCTGGTGGCTTAGTGGTGACCATAGGCCAGCAGTTCAAAACCAACAGCCGCTCCGGGGGAGAAAACGGAGGCTTTCTATTCCTATAAAGAGTTACCGTCTCGGAAACACCCAAGGGTAGTTCTACCCTGTCCCGCGTGTTTTCCTTTTGAGGCGGAATCTACGTCATAGCGTTGGGTTTGGGTGTCTGATTTGGTTTCATCTTTATTCCTATCCACTGCCCCGAGGGTGGTGGCACTATTCTTCACTGAGGCTTAGAAAGGCTTCGTCACGCGCACACACGGAAAACTATACGCATCAGAACTTGAACCCAGGACCCACCCCTGCCCCCACTCTCTTCATATCGACCCCCCAGTGTGAGAGCATCCAGCATCCTGGTGTAGGTGCACTTTTGCAGGGGGACCCTGTACCCTGCCCCCTTGCTTATGTCCTTGGAAGGTGGCTTTCTCGCCCTTGGCCTGGCTGATGCTGGGGCTCGGATTGCTCTTTGTGATGGAGGCTGCCTGCAGTATGGGATATTCAATACCACCCCCTCCCCTGTCTGACAACCCACGTGTACCCAAACCCAAACCCAGCACCCTCCAGTGCACCCTGACTCACAGTGACCCTATAGGACAGGGTAGAGCTGGCCCTGTGGGTTTGTAAGACTGCAACTCTTTATGGGGAGTAGAAAGCCTTGTTTTTCTCCAAGGAGCCACTGGTGGTTTTGAACTGTTTACCTTGCAGTTAGCAGCCCAAGGTGTAGCCACAAAGCCCCCTCATTGTGTCCAGATACTGCTAAATAGGCCCCGGTTGGGTGGGGGAGGTGTTGGGGGTGGGGGAGAGATGGTAAAGCTGCCATGCAGCCAGCTCTGGGGAAAACTTGATCTGCCTATGAGTCAGCATCCATTGGACTGCAGCTGGCTTGGCTTCTGATGCGTGGCACTGGTGTCTTTGACCTGGCCTCTCTCCTCTCTGCAGAGCCCAGAAGATGGGGAACAGCCCCAGCCAATCAGGCCAGAGCTGCCCTTCCCAGCTCCTCCCTCAGGAGCAAGCCAAGGTCGACCGGCTGTTTGATGCCCTCGCTGCCCATGGAAGCCACTCACACGGCTCCCCCCGGTCCTTCTCCCTGCAGGCGCTGAAGGTGAGGCCCGAGGCTGGAGTTACTGCTGGGGCCAGAGTGGGGCCCAGAACCAGCCCTGTCCCCCTCCGTGCCCTCTGCCATGCCCCCACCAGACCCTGCGCACCTGGGTGTGTCATGCTTTGTATCACAGCCCCAGAAGTGCGTGTTCTGCAGAGGGCCAGGTGCCCCCAGCCCCCTGCAGACCTGGGACAGACGTCACAGTCTCTGCGAAAGTACTCAGAATGCAGCCCCCAGATCGTGTCCCAACTTCCCCTGTAACCACAGTTTCCCACCTGCAGTGGTTATACATTCAACTGGGATCCACAAGGGCAACAGTTCAATACCACCAGCCGCTCTCCCGGAATGACGGGACTTGCGGCTCCCATAAACAGTGACAGCCTGGGAAATCCACAGGGGCAGTTCTACCCTGTCCTTCGGGGCTGCTGTGAGTCAGTATAGATTAAATGGCAGTGATAGGTATTTTTTAAAGAGAGGAACTCGGAGCTGTGCCCTCATGAGCCACGGCTCCTGATTGGGGGCATGTTGCCGCCTTGTGATCAGCATCCCAGGGTCAGCCCTGCTTTCCGCCCTGAGTCTAGTGTTCCCCCCACCCCAGAGAAAGGGCCCCAGACAAAATGAGGGGCCTTCTCAGTGGGACCTTGGGGACATGACATCCCACATGTTCCTCTGCCTCTGACCTACTAAAGTCCTAGTGGCATCGAAGCTTCACATTGGCCTGCTAACAGCAAGGTCAGCAGTTCGTACCCACCAGCTGCTCTGCAGGAGAAAGATGAGGCTTTCTACTCCCGTAAAGAGTTAGTCTTGGAAACCCACAGGGGCAGCTCTACCCTGTCCCTTAGGGTCATTGTGAATTGGCAGTGTCTCAATGGGAGTGAGAACGAGTGAGTTTCTTTGTGAAAGTAAAGCCAGACCTCTAGCCATAACATCGATGACCCTGAAGGACTGGGTAGAACTTCCCCTGTGGGTTTCTGAGACTGTAACTCTTTACAGGAGTAGAAAGCCTCATCTTTCTCCTGAAGAGTGGCTAGTGGGTTTGAACTGTTGACCTTGTGGTGAACAGCCCAGCATTTAATCCAGCAGGGCTCCTAAAGAAGTAGTGGAGGCTCAGCTCCAAGTCTCACGGAGCAGGTGTGCAAGTGCCCTCAGGATGTTTGGCTCAGGTTTCGGGGAGGGGTGGGGGAGAGCAGCCCCTCCTGGAGTGGGGGAGGAGGTTATAACAGCCCTGCCCTCAGGATGGCCTGAGTGGGAGGTGACAGCTCACTGAGGACATGAGTGGGGGAGGTTATCGGGAGGGCACAGCTGGGTGGTGTGTGCTGAGTGTGTACACGTGTATAGCTCTCTGTGGTGTGTGCAGAAGCTGTCACCCTGGCCACAGGCCGGCTGGAGCAGCCTGAGCAAGATGGGCCAGTTCCAGCATCGATGTAGAAACAGGCAGTGCTTCTCAATCTCGATCCAGATAAGCAGGGCTCAAGCTGATCGGAAAACTCTGGAACGAGTCAGGTTTGCCTTCTGTGGGACTTTGGAAAATGTCAACCACACACTCTCGGTGGCGTAGTGGTCACAGGTCGGTCTGCTAACTCCAAGGTGGGGAGTGCGAAACCGCAACAAGTCGAGTTGCTGAGTTCACATAAAACAAAAACAACCACTGTCATCAAGTCTATGCCGACTGACTCGTAGGACAGGGTAGAACTGTAGAAAGCACCGTCTTTGACTCACAGCTGCTGATGGGTTTGAACGCCCCAGGTAGTAGAGGCTGGCTATTTGTATACCAAAGTCCCTAACTGGGAGACTGTTAGCCACAGGTGGACATGAGCTTTCTGCCCCGTCAACAGTGACCACCTCAGAAACTCACAGGGGTTTGCTAGGAGTCAGCAGGGACTCGATGGGAGGGCGGGGGGTGAGTTTGGTGATGATCCTGAGGAGGGCAGTGTGTGCCCTTGGATTTGTTTCTCTAGTCAACCCAGTCTAAGACATTATGGTACCAGGAGTGGGGTACTAGAGAAACAAATCATGAAGATGGAGAGTAGGTGCTTGGTTGACCTCTGCCTCCTGGTAGTGTTTCTGCTCTGGCTAGCCAGAGGTCAGCTATGTCCATGCAGTTTACTGGGTTGTTTTCTGGATGGAACATGGGAAGTTAAAGTTTTGGTTATTTTCTTTGGTTGTTGTCTTCGTTACTCCTGTTGGAAATGGCAAAAATGAATGTGATTCATGTACGATTGCTCTTTGTTACAAAGTTCTCTCATACACATACGAGTGTCTATGGATTTGTTTCTCTGGTCCGCCCAACACAAGGACACTGTCCAGGATGCTGTCCGAGGGCCTCAGCAGGGCCGGGGCGGCACACTTGACCTTTTGGGAGGTCCTAAGACTGATGGGCATCCAGGACTCTTGAAGCCAAGGCTGTGCCCGCCCCCTGACCTGGGTTCTTCCCTCTCGTCCCTACCAGGCCCATGTTGGGGGAGCACTCCCCGAGGCCATGGTCACCCGGCTGTATGACGGCATGCGGAGGCTGGACTTGCCGGGCAGGCACCCAGGCCCCAGCGAGAGGGTCTCCCAGGCGCAGTTCACCGTGGCCATGTCCCACCTGCTGAAGGGCAGCTCCGAGGAGAAGAGCCTGCTGCTGCTGAAGATGGTGCCTGTCAAGGGCAGCTCTGTGAGGGCCAGGGACATCCAGAAGGTAACTAGGTCTCAGGGCTGGGGGCCTTTCAGGGGGGCCCTGCACCAGCACGTCATTTGCTTTCTTACCCTGTTGCTTTGGGCAAAAGTTTGCCGTGCAAAGCAGTTTTGAACTTCTTACGGTGACTTGAGGGCAGGCTTCCAGAGCAGATCCACATTCTGTTGAACAATTCACATGTCTTTGTTTCATGCCATTGACTGCAGCCCCCACAAGGTCCTGTCACTCGTCCTTCTCCCTCCCGGTGTCTCCTGTTTCCTCTCCTCCTCCCTTAACCCTCCTGACCCTGTCCCGGAGCACATAGAAGCTGCCTTTCCATCGCTCTAAAGAACACCAACACCCTAGTGTTACTGTGTCTCTTTTAAGACCCGTCTGTTGTTTGGCTGGAAATCGAACCACAGGGGTGAGTTCAATTCCAGTCCCGAAGGGTGACCAAGGGCCATGGTCTTGGGGGTCCCTCCAATCTCTAGCCCACCAGCAAACCTGGTTGGTTGGTTGGTTGGTTGGTTTGAAAAGCCTGGTCTCTCTTAGTGCACATTGATTTTCCAGGCCACAGCTGGGACACATTTTGTTTCCTAGCATTTCCCTTAATGTAACAGGATGTTCCCCATGTCTGTCTCAGAATCCCTCTATCGCCCTTCTTTCTGCCCCTCCCTGGTCATCTTTATGATTTCCGTTTTGTTTTACATTTTCTTCCCATTCTGCCCAGGGCCTCGGATGTCCCAGTCAGTTTGCTGACTGTGGTAGAGGGACACTGCCTAGTGCCCCGGGCCTCAGGGTAGCGTCACCAGTGGGTTGAATGGTCCAGTGACCCTTTGGTCTAACTGTCTAGTTGAGCCTTCTCACTTCTATCCTCCAGACAGCTGCCGCCTAGACGGCTGGTCCTTGGCTTCTAAGTGCCTTGCACGCCTCGCCACAACAGGACGCAGAACATTTAGATCGGGGATCGCTGAGTTTAGAACTTTCAGGCTAGGCCGGCCCAGTGCCTCCTTAGAAAAGCAAATACCGGTAACTACGCTGAGGAGAAACATAAGAACAGTCGTGAGCCGATTTGACTGCCTGATAGCAAGCCCCGACCAGAGCTGCACTGGGCTCTCTCGAGTTGGGGCCCCCCCCTCTGACCTCACACGCTGACTCAGTGCCCGTGGTTGGTCGTGCTGTGTCCTGCAGTTCACAGAGGACCTGGTCAGCTCTGTGCTGCACGTGCTGGACTTCAGACAGGAGCTGAGGGGCTGGACGTGGAAGGAGACCCCGGGTACCCCCTCCAGGGTGCAGGTGATGGCTGCCCAGCTGCTCTCGGAGATGAGGCTACCAGGCAAGTGCCCTCTAGTCCTGAAACCTGTCCCACCCTCACCCCTGGTCTCAACGACCATTGCTTTTTTTCTGGGAGGGGTGGGTGTGGGGTTGGGTCCCTGGGAACAGCCGACGGATATGCTCTGAAAGTTGCCTGGAGAGGAAGGTGCAGTCTGAGGGCTGAAGTCCAACCACTGTCCACAAAAGCATAGTGGGAGCAGGCATGACCATCTCACCCCGGGCTCTGAACCACATATCTGCTGACCCCCTGGAAAGAAACGGACCAGATTCGTGCTAATGATATGCTTATTTCACCCAATCCAAGGAGCCCTGCTGGGACCGTGGTTATGTGTTGGGCTTTTTCCCGCCCCCCTATCAATATTTCCACGTCTGTTTTTTGACCTTTCAGAGTGTTTTCCAGTTGAGTCTGATGGGGTGCCACACTCTGTCCCCAAAGTCTATTTTTGGTATTCCCCAGGGATTTCATTGCTCTGCTCCCCTTGCTGCTCTGTTGCATGCCCTTAGTGTTTCCCCCCAGGGTGGTGGGGTCAGATTGTGTGCAAGTCCCGCACTGTGTCTCCAGTGTTGTCCCTCATAGCACTACGCATGGGTCAATGAGGGACGTGTGTCTCGTGATGGGGCTGGCCCTGGGGTCCTCTCTGTGCATTGTCTACTCTGAGCAGGAGTATCGTCCTCCGGGCTTGGTGGGTCAGGATGTATTCCCCTCATGTACCATCCCTCTTCGTTTCTCCTCTGTGCTCTCACAAGTTGGGTTTCTAACTACAAGGTCAGCAGTTCTAAACTACCAGCCGCTCTTTGGGAGAAAGACAGGGTTTGTACTCCCAATGAAGAGTCACAGTGTCAGAAACTTGGAGAGGTGGTTCTGCCCTGGCCAAAAGGTCCCCATTAGTCAGAATTGACTTGATGGCAGTGAGTTTGGTGTGGTTTGGATCAGATAGGATTCAAGGCCTGAGGAGCCCTGGTGGCATAGTGGGCTCTGTGTTGGCCTGCTCTGCTCCCATAAAGATGGACAGATTTGGCAGTGGGCCGACTCGCTGGCGGCGAGATTTTTCAGAGATCCAAAGCCTGGTGTTAGCAGTGGGTTATGCATGGAAACCCACCAGCCGCTCCAAGGGGGAGAGACTCCCCGTTCCCGTATTTACAGGCTCTGAAACCCCCAGGGGCCGTTTTACTCCGGCCCATCCTCTGGCAGAGCGGACTCAATGGTATGGCGGTTTGGTTCGGCAATCAGGCAACCGATAGGAAACAAATCACTGGGCTAGCTTGCGTTCTGCTCTACACACAAATTCCCCGAAGTGGTTGTGGGTCTCACCCCTACGCCATTTCCCCCCGGCCTCCGTGTTGGGCAGCGTGAACATCACTCCCTGCCATGAAGTCAATTCCAGCTCATAGTGACCCTGTAGGACAGAGCAGAACTGCCCCTGTGAGTTTCCGAGACTGTAACTCTTTGCAGGAGCAGAAAGCCTCACCATCTTCCTGCAGAGTGACTGGTGGGTTCGAACCACCAACCTTGCAGTGAGCTCAGTGTGTAACTGGTTCCGCCCCCAGAGTGAGGCTATAAGGAAGGGAGATGGCCCTGTTCACACCTTCCCCTCCCTTGATTCCTGCAGACGGCAAGCAGCTTCTGGAGGCCAAGCAGCTGGACTGCATGTGTGGCCAGGCCGAGGTCGAGGACTGGGTGTTCCGGGTCCCCCTCGTGGCCACGTTTCTGGGCGTGGTCATCCGCCAAGGCCTCCAGGTCCTGACGGCATCCCTCAGCCTAGCCGCTTTGATCCCCAAGCGCCACGTGGACCCGGGGCAGGAGGTGGCGAGCCTGCTGGATGTGCTGTCAGTCATCTACCTCAACGGTCACCTGCCTCAGGAGCATCGCCGCTGCTGGCGCCTGCTGTTCTCCTCCGAACTCCACGGGCACAGCTTCGCCCAGCTATGTGGACGCATCACCCGCCAAGGGCCCTGCCTACTCCTGCTCGAGGACCTCGCTGGCCACGTGTTTGGAGGCTTTGCGTCCTGCTCCTGGGAGGTCAAGCCACAGTTTCAGGGTAAGATCCAGAGGGTAGGGCAGAACTGCCCCCGGTGGCTTCCCAGGCTGGCTGCAGTCCGCCACGGCTCCCTTGCTCACTCCCTTGTTCTGCCAAGGGGCAGAGCCCTTCAGCTACTTAACCAACCCACCCCAATAGCCTGGTGGAGTTGATCTGACTCAGGGATGGCTGTTTCTACTCTCACCAAGAGTCTCAGTCTCAGAACCCCACAGGAGCAGTTCTACCCTGTCCTGCAGGGTTGCTGTGAACATCACCCGATGGCAGTGTTTTGTTTTTCCTTTAAATTTTTTATAACGACCCTATCGGACAGGGTAGCCCAATCCACAGGGTTTTGGAGGCTGTCGGTGTTGGTGGATCTTTCTCCGGCAGAGAGGTTGGTGGATTTGAACTGGCCACCTTTCGATTAGGAGGAGAGTGTTTGACCAGGTGCTCCCCTCTGCAAGGCTGTTGGGAAATGAAACACTGCCCACCTCCCCCTGTGAGACCCTGCGGTCTGCTACCTGCTCTTTTAACAGAAACCAGATGACCAAACTGAACCAAACTCCCTGCCAGCGCCCTATGGGATGGGGCGGAACTGTCCCTGTGGGTTTCTGAGGCTGTCAGTCTTTAAGGGAGCAGCCGGGAGAGGTGGGTGGTTTTGAACTGCTGACCTCTCAAGTAGTAGTTCAGCATTTAACCGCTATGCCACCAGGGCTCCCCGGGCACAGCGGCAGAGTTCCTGATGGACGGGGCTTGTTGAGGGGATGGGTTTGCCCTTGAAGGAGGGAGGGCAGGTATAACTCCGTGCCAGGGCACCCCGGGTGTATCCAGAGCCTTAGCCCTTCTCTCTGCAGCCCAGGTGCCCACACTTAGCCCATGCCACTTGTCACTGCCCACCACCTGCACCTTCCCAGGGATGGCTGGGCACCCTGCTGGACAATGCATGTTTTTGGGACTTGCCTACACAACCTCACAGCCCTGCTTTCTGAGGGTGGCCCAGGAGGCAGGGGTGGGGGTTGGGGCTGGGACCAAGGTTGAGAGGTCATGGACCCGATGTTCCATACAGCTTATTTCCTCCCGTCCATCTGTCCACTCTAAGCTTGTCACTGTGAATGAGGTGTAGGCTTACAGAGCAGACCGTCAGTCTCACATTCAGCGTTCTGTGCACAGCTCACACACTGCGATGCCCTCAGAGCACCACTACGCAGCCCCATCCTCCCTCCCCCGCCCCTCCCCGCGCCTCCCGTTCCAGCCCCTGCCTTTCCAAACCCTCGGAACTCTGCCCTTGTCGGAATGCTGCCCTTTTGGTGCCAAAACGGTTGATGCTTCTCACAGGTGTGAGTTCACTGCCAGACCCGAAGGGTAGGTGACTCTCGGGCTCAGCTCGGACACCACACGGCCATTTCTTGTCTCTCTGGTCACTTCTAGGGGACAACAAGTGCTTCCTGTTCTCTGTGTCCCCACGCATGGCTGTGCACACGTGCACTGGGTACAACGACCACTTCATGTACCTGAACCAGGGCCAGCAGACGATCCCAAATGGGCTGGTAAGGCGAGGGGCTCCTGGCTCCAGCATCCCCCCATCCTTGTCTCCCTCCTGAGAGGCCCTCCCTACCAGCTTGAGGTTGACCCTGGGAGGTCAGCAGGGCTGCCTTCCTCCCTGTGTCAGGAAAGCCACTGGCGGTTGGTCACTCATGGAGGCTGGACGAGCTCCTTGGTAACCAGGACAGAATCTGTCCCCTGGGCTGACGGGCAGGACTCGGCTTCTGTTGGGCCATTTTTGTGTCTGGGGTATGGGAGGGCTGCCAACTGTCCCCCGCTGGCCAAGCCTCCACCTGCAGGACAGGCTGGGGTCAGTGTGAGTGGCGGTGGCAGTGGCCTTGAGTGTCACTGCCTCCATGCCACCCCCTGCAGGACAGGCTGGGGCCAGCCCCCGGGATGCTGTCTGCAGTGCCGTGGCTCTGTCCTCTGCAGGGCATGGGCGGCCAGCATGGCTACTTTGGGCTGTGGATCGATGTGGACTTTGGGAAGGGACACAGCAAAGCCAAGCCCACCTGCACCACCTACAATAGCCCCCAGCTGTCCTCCCAGGAGGACTTCTGCTTCCACAGGATAGAGGTGTGGGCCGTCGGGGAAGCAGAGCCTCAGCTGGTGAGCACAGAATGGCCCCTGTCTGCCCCTTCTCCTGGGGCTCCCGCCCTACTGTGTGCCTGTCTGTGCCTCTCACAACACCCCCACCCTCTCAGCTGTGGGGCCCCACCCCTCTGCCTTGGGAAGTTAGCACCTTTGGGGCTTGAGGACTGGCAGGAGGCCCCACCTGCCCTTGGTGATGGGGTAGGGGCGCGTGCCACTGTGCACTCCTGAGCCCCCCTGCTTTTCCTTCCAGGCCAGCAGCAAAAAGAGCATCCTGGATGGGGACCCCGAAGCCACCGCCCTGCTGGAGATCAGTGGGCGGGGCCGGCACAGCGAGGGGCTCCGAGAAGCCCCGGATGACGAGTGAGGGGGGCCCAGGGGACTCGCCCTCGAGTTCTCGTAGCACCTTTGTCAGGATGTGGTGGGCAGGAGACTTGAAGGCCAATTGGTCCCCGGGGGCGGGAGCCCCAGCAGGTGCCGCGGTGGGGTTCTGAGATAAGGCCCACCTTTGAAGCCGTGTCTCCACGCTGTTTAACTGGCTGTGCCATGAACCACGTGGGCAGCAGAAGTGCCTGTTTCTGTCGGGGCCTTAAGTGGGCAGCCAGAGGGTCCCAGTGCCGGGGTGGCATTGGCACCGGAGAATGTGCTCTGGGGGTACAGAAGGTGCTGCGTGCAGCTGCTCGCCAAGGGCCCGGCGGTGAACCCACTGGGAGAAAGCCGAGGCAGAGCCCTTCTGTGAAGACCTACACCCTGGGAACCCTGCTGGGCAGGTTCCCGCGCCCCCCTTCCCTCCCTCCCCCCCTCTCCCGAGCCACTGGCATGGGCTTGGCTGGGCACACCCATATTAACACGTGTGCAGCCATGCATGGCTCCTCTCTAACCAAACCCATGTCTGGCTGGAACCTTTGGGAAACTGATAGCCAGGCCTTTATTCCGCGGCACCTCTGGGTGGCACGTCACTGAATGCCTCGTGTCTGCACCACTGAGGGACATCATAACCTCTCCAGGCCTGTCCCATGAGGTAGGGGGACTCACGTCTCTGTGCACGTGCCAGCTTTCAGACCCGCCTTGACACGCGCTCCTTCCCCACACCCCATCAGTAGTACCCAAGTGTGGTCTGGATCACCCCCAGGCTGGGCTCACTTAGACATCCCTCCCACTGAATCCCACATGTCGAGAATCACCTAGTTGAGGTGTCTGAGGAGCCGGGCCTCGGCAGAGCTGCTGTCTTCCAACCTGAAAGGCCCTCTAGCACACAGGGAGCCCCCCCACTCGCACCACCAGCCGTGAGCTCCATGCTGGGGAAGCTGTGTCCATGGGTCTCTAGAGACCCAGCCCTTCTCTCATCTTTTGCTGTAAGTGCAGCCCCCTCTTGGGTCTCAGGAGGGCCTTTTAAAGGAAGTAGCCTTCAGGAGAAAGGTGCCCCCCACCCCGCCAGGTGGCCGGGAGATGTGGGTGTGAGGGGAGGTGGGTCCATGTGGCAGTTAGGGACCTTCCTTCCAAAGTGTTGGGACCAACAGGTCCGCAGGCCCAGCCGAGTTCGTCCAGTATTCAAGGCCTCTACTGTGAACCCAAAGATGTGTTTAGGTTTATGCACCTCTACTGTAAACCCAAAGATGTATTTAGGTTTATGCACCTCTACTGTAAACCCAAAGATGTATTTAGGCGTAGGGGTTAAGGTGGGGAGGGGATTGTTTCTTCTGGAATGTTCTCTACACCTATGCAATTAAATACCTCGTTCCCCAAAGGGTCTCCCATGTCCCGGCCTTTGCCGCCCTGGGCCTCACTGGGGCAGCTGCCCGGAGAGTGGGGATGCTGTCTGAACACACCATCCTGTGTCAGGCTGCAGGTGGCTGTGGCAGCTCACCACAGACAGTTCCCACCTGTCTCACAAGGCCCCATACCTTACAAAGGGCAAGGGTGGGGTCTCCCTGGGAGTCCAGGGCCAGGTGTCTGGCACCTTGGGAGACAGGGCCCCTGTGAGGGGTGCCGTGACAGCATCAGGCTTCTCTGAGGCACGGAGCCCATGTGGCGGTATCACCGTGGGGTTCTGCACACACACAGATGCATCAGGGGCACCAGCCTCGGCCCGGGGACTCTGGGCTTGACACCTCCCAGCCTGTGCTGCACTGAGCCTGGGACACCACGGAGCTACTGTCACCCGGGAAGAGGGCCACTTTGTCCAACTGGAGGAAGAATTCAAGAGGATGCTGTTTGGTGCCCAAGGCCATTGTGAGCAGAACAGGGTCCCCGCAGCATTTCCTAGGCTGTGACCTTTGTGGGGCAGCCCTGGTGGCTCAGTGGCTAAAGTGTTCAGTTGCCAACTGAAAGGCCACTTTGAGTCCCCCGGCTGTTCTGTGGGGGGAAGATGAGGCCGTCTACTTCCGTAAAGACCCAGCCTTGGAAACCCACAGGGCAGTTCTGCCCCACTCCGCCCTACAGGTCGCTGCCAGTGTGTGTGTGGGGGGAGGGGGGAGGTGTTAATCTTTACTTTGGACATGTTACCAGGGGAGACCAGTCCCTGGAGAGTGACATCGTGCTTGGTAACATGGAAAGCCAGTGGATTGACACAGTGGCGGCCACAGTGGGCTCAGGCATAAGGACAATGGTGCTGACGGTGCAGGACCAGGTGGGGCTTCACTGGCACGTCAGGTTGCTGTGAGTGGGAACTGACTCGAGGCCCCGAACCACCTCCACCACCAGCACCGTTATCACCTCCACCATCATCACCACCATCATCACCACCTTCACCATCACCACCACCACCCCTCTCTCCATCTGCTGCAGTGAATACCCCCTGAGTGGGCCTTGATGGGATTCTCTCTGCAGGAGGACCTCTTAGATGCTCAGCTGCTGGTGTAGGAAGTGTGAGTTTTTACATTTTAAATGAATCCAGCCTCGCTCCGCTCACTTGACATGCCTGGTGGGCTGGAGGGGTTGTAAACTGTGTCTTCCTGGACACTGTATTAAAATTCACTTCTTATCACCCAATAGGTGGAAATGATCATTTTATTTCCCCTCTAAGGAGTGAGAAAAGGCAGCTTCATCTAAGAAAAGAGAAAGTACTGGTGTGGGGTCAGTGTTGGAATGTTAACCACGAGGTCTGCAGTTCAAATCCCCCAGCTGCCCCAAGGGGACATGTGAGGCTGACTGCTCCCGGAAAGACGAGTCTTGGAGACCTTATTACAGGGTCACTCCGGGTCGGAATGGACTCGGTGGCCGTAGGTTTCGGTGTTCGGCCCCGGACCGTTCCTGCCTACTTTCTGCTTGTTGGCTTTTCTGGCATCCAAGTGCTGGGGGAGGGGGAGCAGAGGGGGGCTTTTGGCTACTGTTTGTGAGGGTGCTTTGCCACAGGGTCGTGCCTGTTGTGTGCGGTGTCTCATGCCCTAGCTGCACTTTGTACCAGAGCCCTGGTGGTTTCGGTGGTTACACATCGGGCTGCGATCTGCAAGGTCAGCAGTTCAAAGCCACCAGCCACTCTGTGCAGGAGAGAGATGAGGCTTTCTACTCCCATCAACCGTTAGAGTCTCAGACAAACCCAAAGGGCCGGTTCTACTGTGCTCCATAGGGTCACGAGTCAGCAGGGATTGTTGAAAGCGGGAGATGTCTACATTTTGTAATTGCTTATTGACAGGGCCGCCTCTGCGGGGAGATGGTTTCGGAAATGCATACTCCACTCCATTTTCCCCTCCCTCCCTCCAGGGCTGTTCCGGTCACAACTGTTTGAGATCTTCCGCTTTCTGTTTTCCCGTAGAAGTGGTGTCATGAGCAGCATTTCTGTATGGACAGAAAGCGCCTGCTGGTCCCCCTTACGGGAACTGGGATAACTGCACACCGGGGGTGGGGAACGCCCGCAGTATAAGGCGCGGGAAACCATCCCACCAGCGAACCGCGCCATGCCTCACCAGGAGAAGCTGCTCCAGCGTCACGTTAAGGGTGAGTTCATTCCATATTCGACCAGAGTGACCCGAGAGTGACTTTATAAATCTCCACATGGCCCTTTGCAGAAAATAAAGGCCCCGACCCCTGCTGTAGACCATAGGCCCCATACTTAACTTAGCATACCACCCCCCACACCCCCTTTTCAGAAAAAAGTCGCTGGGTGCCCCTTTGGCGGGTAAAAACTTTTGTACTGTAGCCCTTGATGCGGGATAAGGTGTAGGTATCTGCTTTATAGCCCACCCCCCACCATGGGGCGGTATCATAGCCTATTTTGGGAGCCACTGCCCTTGACCATGGGGAGAACTGACCAGGCAACTACAATGGACGTTTCCCGTGAACTCACTGCACCTGCCTCTCAGTCACTTAATTTCCCTCTTGCTCTCTCCTTAGTGTTTGGTGGTTTTCTGCATAAAGGTTGTGGATGTTCTTTGGATGTTGAC